TTGTAGCAACTTTACCAGCCTAACACTCTCATCATAACGAACTTTCACTCGAAAATAATAACGCAATTATAAACTGAGCCGTTCACGCTCTACACAATGCCCAACTATTACTCTCTAACCATCCATTTTTCTTATGTAATTTATTTAAATTCTTGTTCCTTGTTATTAAGCTAATTGCAATCGCCAGCCATTGTGTTTTTAATAAAAGGATCCAAATTCGAGCCAACGATCCGGCTGCTACATTTACGTAATGAAATTATTTTAATATTAAATTGCTAATAACTTAATCAAACAGTGTAATTAATATTCGAGCAAAATTGTTTTGATTCGAAAACAGATAGCTGTGTTTCCGGCAGCAAATATGTCAATTTGACATTGATATGTTGATTTTAATTTTTTATTGCTCGGATTTAGTCCAAATTAGCTTAATCTGATTATTTTAATTTTTGTTTAAAGATTTGAGTGCTAGCAAAATACTAAAACAGTTGTTGTTTGCTAAATGACCATTAAAGCACCCGTTTAAGTACTTAGTGGTAAACTTGTAATTATGTAAAAAATGATGGTTCATTTTTTATGTTTAAATGTGTTTTGCTTTCACACTTTTTATCTCCAAATTAGCTTTCACACACAAAATAAAAATATCTATAATAAAAAATTATCATAAATTCAAATTAATGTACAGGCTGTCTCATCTAAAACTTCTCATGTGTATACTTATCACCTATTACTAATAGGTATATTCTACAACAATGTTAAAAATTGTTTTTATTTACTCAACCCGCAATGATAATTTAATTCATGTTACTGGACTGGATGATTTCTAGTTAGATTAACTACAATAAAAAACAATGTTTCAGCTCTATTCATAAGAAGGCGTTATCTTGAAGAATTTTAATTGAGACTCCCTGTATCTTTTTAAAGTATTTTTTTTCATGTTTTTTTATTGTTTTTTTTGTTTAGTACTTAAAAAAGTTGTAAATAGGTAGGTATAATTTTTAAAAACTGTGACTGTGACTTGGAGAGTTACAAAAAAAATTGGCACAATTTCAGTAATATGTATTACGTTTTCAAAAGAAAAATGTCTTGTCATGAATTAATTTCGCTATATTAACCAACGTAGACTGAAAAGTAATTGGGTCATATTTATTAATTACTTTTTCAATAGTTTATATTAGCCGATTTATAAAATGAGAATTCAAAATTGGAATAAAAATCAAACAAATTAATCATAATTTAAAATTTGATTACACAATTAATTCTTTATATTATTAAATTATTATTAAAATATAAAAAAATATATTTTCTTAATTCTTAATTACATTTAACATCTAAATAAAAACATGATTAGGTAGGTACCTACTGATTTCATATTTGTCACAACTATGTGCTACATTTACCAAAGACATGCAAAAAATTGCTATATTTTTTTTACTAATCTCAATGAATTGTTTTAGGTAGGTAGATTTTTATTATTATTTAATCTATTTGTTTAACGTTATTTTATTTTATCTTCTTAACTGTTTTAAAATCAGTATAACAGTTATCATTTTTTTAATGTTGTGTGTACATTTAGATCGAAATAAGCTTTAACAAGTTTGTACTTCAAATATGAGCAGAAAAAAAAAGAAAAACACAACGTCAATTTATTTTATCTACATACCCATTTTGAAAAACAAATATTTATTATTATTAAGTTATTTTTTCCAATTAATACTTAGGTAATAAGTAATAAAATATAAATTTAAATACACCTTTTTACTAATCAACATGAAATCCTACATATTAGTGACAAATGAACCGCACTAAAGTGGCTCATTTACTGCTTAGTCAATAAAAAGTTTTCCATATTGATTTACATTGCTTTTACAGCAACTCGATCACTGCCTCATAAATGCAACTTGTTTAAATTAATTACTGAAAAATGATTGATAATTTTTTTTTTATAATTATGTATTTAATACGCTTGAAACAAATTGTCAACACTGCCTGTTTGGCTATATGTAAGTGTTTACGGTCTTAGAGCTAAAAATTGACCTGGTAATATTTAGAAGAGTGCAATAATAGTGATAGTGTAGCTGAAAAAAAAACTCACAAAACTGTTGTTATTATAATGTAATTTAACTCCAAAATAGTGTGCAAGGTTTGAGGGACACTGAAATTATTTTTTTATTAAGATAAAATTACATTTTTGAAACAAATAAAATACCGTTTCTACAATAATGAAAGAGAAAAGCCACTCTAGGTATAGTTTCGACATTGTCATAATTTGATTACTTTTGCCTTAGTTTTTATCAAAATTTGAAGATCTTCTGTTTAATCAATAATCACTTTCAACGAAATGGTTTCCAATATGGGTTTAATTTGTTTTTTCTTGATTTTTTTAGATCGCCAATATTAAAATAATAAATTGATTGTCATGATGGTCATTGTTGCCATTTGTTATATTCAAAGCAGCAGTTCTCAAACAATTAGTACGAAATAAATTATTTTATTCTTCGACACTGTCAAAATTTACGGTTTTTCTCCCGTTAAGGAAGTTTTGACAATAGTTTGGCATTTCTCAATACGAAACGTCAGATTATTTTTAACAAGTTTAAGCCTTATTGAGTCTAATTCGAAGAATAAAATGTTGTATTCAACTTGTTTGAGTGTAAATCGGACGCTTTATTCCACCTCGTGGATGATAACCCACTCGGTGAAATAATCCGTCCGGTTTACACTCAAACTCGTCGAATAAATAACTATCCTTTCCTAATGTAAATTTTTATTTAATCTCTAAATTTTAATATCAAAACCGTAAACACCCCACATAAAACAAATGTTATTTTGTTAAAAACTACAAGCAAATCGAATCTATTATAATTATAATTATTATAATGATCTACCGATTTTCTACTACTATCTACATATACACTGAGAAAAATGAATAGTAACAGCTAAATGATAGATTAGTTTGACTAAGAAAAGTTTAATACTAATCCATGTATGTTCTCAAGCAATAACCAACATTGGAAAATAACATGTCGGGTTTTCCATTAAGTTATTGATTTATTATTATTGAACAAAATATTTTTTACGGTATTGTTATTTAGTATGTAAACTATAGATCGTAATAAATAAGTAATAATTTAATAGTTAATAAATCTATTTAAATTTTTGTTTAGTCAATAATGTATTTTCTTTACATGATAACCAATGGAAACGATTATTCAACAACAGTTTATTCTTTTTTAACCAGCATAAAGATTTTAACATATAACAAACGGAATTTCAAATGTAAATGCGTAAATATTACTTGGAAAAATTGCGCGCATGCTCACCACAACATGCAGTTGCACGTTGTGTGTGGTGAATGTGCTCCAACTTTGTTCAAACGAGTCTTTACATGAACGAATAGTTTAATGGTCATTTGTTTTTTCTGTTCTATTTGTGTTTGTGTTTTGAGGAGTGCAGAAGAACGGTTGACGAAAAGTGAAGCTGAAGCAGTGGCAAAAATTTGAAGGTTAGTATAATGATATTTACAATCGCCGGATCAGCCACCACCAGAAATTTTTAATTGCAACATGCTATTAAGATAAAAATATTTTTATGAGCAATAGATTCGAGCAGTGTCTGATTTGGACTGTTGCAAACTACATTCTCCATAATGTTATTTCAACTGCAATGATTTCATTTTATAATTAATGTAGTATATTGTCGATAAAAACTTTTGTTAAATATTAAGCATTTATATTTAATGTTAAACTGATGGAATCTTAATTATCTACTTCTTGGTTTTTCTTATTCAGATGAAGGAATGACATAGGATATTTTGCTGGATCTTGTTCAGAGTTTCCTTCCCCAGCTGGTGCCAAAATTTGATGACCAATTCAAATTGATGCGGCATATTAAAGAGTACAAATCTGCATCTTTGGTAAGTTTTTCAATTTTAAAGTCTATTTTTTTAATTTATTAGTGTTAATGCAGTGATCGACGTCCTGGCATCCTTGTCCCCGTGCAGTACTAAATACATAATTTGTACTTAATGATGTTTTAAATGTTTATTATTTTTCTTAATAAATTGTTCTAAATAATATATGTACAGTTTTATTCCTTCGTTAGGTATATTTTTACCTAAAAAATATTTTTCCCTTTAAGATATACTTCTTAACTATCAAGAACACATCTTTTAATATCTAATGCGAGATTATTAATCTTTAATGATCCTTGTTTCTTGTTAATAAATATTTCTTATTATTAACACTGCAATATTAAAGTAGATGTTAAGTTTTTATAAAATGAGAATCACTTAAAAACTAAGAAATGCTATGTTTGGAAATTCCAAACAAATTATTTATTCTCTGATAACAATAGTTTCTTCCGCCGTATTCTAAAAAATTATTAGTTTACATTTAAGCTAAATCTTTAACTAGTAAAAAACTGTTCTCTCAGTGTACCTAATTCATCAGTGAGTAAGAATCCAAACAAGAAATTTGGGATAATCATCAGTTTCTCTAGATTTCAGGGGTAATAACTTAATATTATGACACCAAATCTCTTATAACTTTTATGACTCCGTGTTCAGTTAAGTTTATTGTCAGAGTAATAAAAGCAAAGTCTTTCATTCAAGCGGTCAATAAAAATCGTTAACAATGGGAAAACAACGCCGTGTCATAATACCTGCAAAACTAATAGAATAGAACCGCACAATAAACACAAGCTATTTGAGAGTAGCTTTATTATATAACCAATGAAAAGAGCTTAAAGCATAAAGGCATAAAACTGTTTTCCTAAATAGTCAATCTAATAAAATCTGTACCAAAGACCTGCCCATAAAATAAACACAAGAAGACAACTCACTACCGCCTCATCTTTCCATTGGCCAGCCAATTATCCTCGCCGTTCCTCGATTGGCCCATTGCCCAAAGAGGGGAGATTTCTGGTGGAAGGGGCAACAACATGGCTGATTTACTACCGTGTCCACACCGAATGCCGCTTTTAGGTTAGTTTGAAAGCAAACGTCTCGAGTGGTGGATTAAGCACGCTACACACACCTGTTCGTTACGTGCAATTTATCGTATATACAGCAAGTTCCGAAAATCGGTGTGTGTGTTTTTGGAGCGAGTGACTCGGTTTTTCGCAGTGTTGGGTATAGGGGAAAAAGTGTCGAGTACGGTGGCTGGCATGACCGTGCAAGACGAAGTCCGGACCATGCCTCAAACTGCAGCCACGCGATCGCGTTTTATGATCACTGACATTCTGAGTGGACCGGCCGACGGGACGGCGATTATTAGGGGAAGGTCGCCCAGTCCGGGACCCAGGGATTTGTCGCTACACTCCAATCCCATCCATGACAGTGATACGGACAGTTCCGGACATCCGGATAACTCCAGTGTTTGTTCCAACGGTAAGTGCAAAATATTAACAATGGGAAGAATTAAGGAACAGACTATATACAGAGTGCGCCAGAACTCGCGCCCCAGAAAAAAATGCCATATAAGGTAACATGGAAAAAATGGTAAAAAAATTTTATCTATAAAAATTTCGAAGTTATGAGGGTTTAAAGTTTGCACTTTGACTCTATTTATTTCTGTTGGAAAAATAATTTTCCAAGTTTTTTGTGCTATAGGCTATTAAAAGAGGAAACAAGGAAGCTGTATCCTAAATTGTAACTTTGTTCAATGTTATTTGTGGCTTTTATTGGCAAAATTTTTGTACTTTTACTAAATAATTGTAAAAAAAACATACAAGATCATCAGTATCCTTAAATAGATATAAAAAAATGTCAAATGTCTAAATTTTTTGACAGATGGACTTTTTTAAACATTTTTTTCATGTTCCTGGTATCTTACCTAACTTGAAAATTTTCTCTGGGGCGCGAGTACTAGCGCACCCTGTATATAGACTTATCGAGTGTCAAAAAATTTATTTAAATGTTCAGTGTTCAAACAGTCAAAATTTGCCATATGTATATAAATAAAATAATTACTATTGCTACTATTTGTACAATTGTGAACAGGGAATATTGAACATGTCAATTTCAAAAATGTCCATGTAAGCCACGCTTTATTGTCATATTGATTGACGTTTGAAAGTAAAATTTAAAAATTTTAATTGAAATTTATTTTTGGCGTCGGTAGGTATTAGTTTTTTAGATTTCTTTAGTTTTGTTTTTTATATTTCACGTTTTTATTTAAATTTATTGTAATTTTATTTCTTGGTGTCAGGATAAAAATTACAAAAATCGAATGTGAGGTTACTTGCACATAAAGCCAGTTTTACATTTTTATGTTAACTGAATGACAAATCGTCCAAAATTCCGTGTCCGGAACTGTACTACAATTCACAACTTAGTAACTTTTATTTTGAAATTTGAAAAATTTTACAAGAGAGCAAGTCAGAACAAAAGAAATATTTATTTATTATCTAATACTACTAATAGAAATATGTACCTATAGTATATTACAAGCGATAGGGGAAACATTTAATTACCCAAGAGGGCTCAAAAAAATCATACTTGAACTCAAATTAAATATCAAGAAGTATTTATTATACTTTCTCAGAATTTTAACATGTGTCAACATTAAGCACGTGTCTTATGAGCACGAAAAAAAATATTTTTTTTTGTTTGATAATTTAATTAAGTATGACCACCTACTCGTACCTACATTATGTAGGTACATGAAGTCATATTCACAAAAAAATAAACGTATATCTACAGAGTGTGTCAGAACTCGTTCCTCAGAGAAAAATTTCAAGTAAGATAAAAAAAATGACATTTATTTTTTGATATTTCACTTTTTTTGCCTATTTAATAATACTGATGATCTTGTATCTAAATGTTTTTTTATAATTATTTAGTAAAGGTACAAAATTTTGACAATAAAAACCACAAATAACATTAAACAGAGTTATACAATTTAGCCAACAGAAATAAATAGACTCAAAGTGCAAAACTTAAACTCTCATAACTTCTAAATTTTTATAGATGTTTTTTAACAATTTTTCCATGCTCCTCGTATCGTACATTACATCGCATTTTTCTCTGGGGCACAAGTTCAGACGCACCTATATATAACACAAACGCGAAAAAAAGCTTTTCTTTAAGAATTTAATAAAATAAAACAAAATGTAATAATATATTGTTTAGAAAATTGCATTAGAGCAAATTCTTTATTTGTTGCTATTCGATTTTAAGCAATAGATATTTACATTCAGTTAACTAACATTGAAAGCGGAAGAAGAAAGTATTTTTATTTTAAAATAATGTTTAATTACTATTCAACCAACTTAAAATCAAACATAATGCTGCTAATAGTTTATTAAGTCATAAAAATAACCTTCTGAAATCTGTAATAAGACACTAAAGACACTTAACATTAATTTTAATTTTTTTTCTGCCACTAAGGCAATTTTTGACTAAAAATTGATCATAGTTGAATCATGCTTTTTTGTATACCCAAAATTTAGCAGCTTTTATAAATGGTATAGTTAATTATATCGATCAATGACCGAACTAGTTTATTAAAAAAATATCAAATGTGACAAGAAGTAGGTATTATGTCGTGCTATTCGCCATTCTGCCATTTTTCATAATATTTTTTCGGTAAGAAATAATGGAGTATTTTCGCTCAGCAGAGTCCAGTTGTTACACAGATTCTTCTTTTACACAGAAATTGTAATTATTACACCTGAAAAAACATAGTTGCGACGTTGCCAGTGTCGCAATTGAAATGGCACGAGGTGTAGTTGTTATGCATTTGAGGAGACGTCAAATCGTCAAAATTTTAAAAATTCATTTCAGCGTCACCGTCAAAAATGACAGAAATATCAAATGTGGTTTTTGATTACATATTTTACAAAGAAGATTTTTTTGTGACGGTGTCAGCGGCTTTTTTAAGATTTAAATTAGATTTGTAGGTTGTTTTGTAATTTGCTATCTTGCTTTTTTCGAACTTGTGATTACTACTACATATAGCTTTCCCAGCGATAGACTGGACTTTTATAAATATACTAGCAACGTTAAAATTACTAAAACAGTCCTATTTTGGGACCGGTTTTTGCGTACTGTTAGGTTGGTAACATTCGCCTGTCACGTTTTGTTATCCTGTCATTCCTGTCAAATGGATAATTTTAAGAATCAAAAGCTGATTGCTAATGATTGCTAATGCTTATTCTTTTTAGGGACAAAAATTTGAGTTATGCTCTCCCATTGACGTACCTAAATTTTTGAGCATGTTTATTTGAGGTTACAGCTCGCTGTTTAAATTAAAAAACTTGCTTTGCAATTCTTGCATTATCAAAATGTTATGGTAATTGCGACATTACAAACCTGTTTTTTGTTAAGGGACCATTTAAAATGTGTAATAAACGTTTTAATGTGAAAATTCAAGTACAACGCGCTGATGGGTACTACTTTTCGCGCGGAGTGTTAGTGACTTGTTTTTTGTTTTGTTTTTCTATTAAAATTGACACAGATATTTCAATTTTTTTAGCATATTTTTGAAAAAATTAACAGTACTAACTTTCATATGTGTCAAGTTACATGTGATTGTACATTAAATAAATACAAATATTATTAGTGCATGTTAAAACAAATGCTACATCAAGTTATGGTTATTACTCGGGTTATTATTATAAAGACTACTATTGTTATTTACCATTTACGTACTATTTACTTTATCTTTACCATTTTATACTTGATTAAACAAAACATGCAAATAATATCGAAATTTAATCATAGGTATTATTTTTATTGTTATGTGGATCTAATTGTTAAGACTTGCAAATACACTAAAACATTTAATTTACTAAAAACTACGGACCATAATAGTCTCCCCATCCAGAAACGTAACACAATTAAAATTGAATGAAACTTTATTCCAAAAAAAATAAGAGAAATTTCTAAAATCCTTATAAAGTTTAAAAAAATCATTAAAAAGACATTGAAATTCTTATTTCAAGTGTAGGCACTTAAACAAAACTTAAATAATTTTTGTTTTTATTATTTGAAAGGTAAACAGATACCATTTAACGACTCATGATAAGGCTAAATTTTGTACGAAAAATTAATAAAACTTTATTATAATTTTTAAATTATTTAAAGTTGTAAACACCTTTTAATAGGAAACAAAACAGGAAACGGTATGATTTAATTTCTAGTCTTTAGTTTGTTTAATTAAATTTAATTTATTAATAGAATTTGTCACCTTATAACTGACTGGTGCTGGAAGCAGGATATTGAATCTTTTTTACTAAATAAAAAGCTGTTACCCGTTGAGTCACTAAAACCAGATAGGTATGTGTAAGCACATCCTGAAACACCAACAATCCCAGTGCTTATCCATATCATGAAAGTTTCATTTACATAATTTGATGTTTTAAGTCGAAACATGTCGAAAATCCTATATTAACCTTTCTCAAATTTAGATAAAAGTTTCTTGTCGTTGTTAAACATGGCAATTATGTCACGATAAAACGAAATTTAAATTTGTTTTCTTCAACTCAATTAATTAAAAATCAATTTGTGTCCAAGTCCTTGTACGATAAATCACTCCACATTCATTGATTTCTAATGATAGAATCCTCGTAACATCCTTGAGCGATTTCATGCTTATTTTCGCATTCTCGGAACACACAAATGACATAAATCAGTATTTTACGCGTATTCCGAGAATTTTTCCATTGAGGATTTCAGCTCTGAATTTTCATTCATCATAAGCAGGAACTGAAAAACGATCATAATTAATTTCGTGCAAGACTATATTTTTCTAACATACCAGTGCATACAACCTTAGAAAATTAATAGAAGATTTATCAATTACGACTACCTATACGCAACCGACAATTTATCGCCATCTAACAGGAATTTTATATGAATGAATTTTCCATTCATGCGGCAGCGGCATTCACGCAACGCCATGTCTAATAAATGACAATTTAAAATAAGCACTGGGAAATAATTAATATTAATGTGACCACTGTTTAAAAAAAATAAAAACATTTTTTAATCTTTGTTTTTCATATTGCAATATTTTTTTTAATATGATACAACTCAAAATAATACACTGTTTTTAAGTTCTCCCGTATTTAACCAACAAAACAATTTTTTATGTACCTATTATTACTGATAAAATGGAAATAAGCACACCTTTTTTTAAACTATCAAATTATTTTTCACGTTGTTTTTTAAATAACATTACGTTTTTGTAAGTACAAGTTTAATACAAAATAAATATGTTTATACAGGGTATGTCAAAACTCGCGCCTTAGGAAAAAAATTTCAAGTATGAAAAGATACCAGGAACATGGAAAAAATGTTTTTGTCTGTGAAAAAAAATTGACATTTGACATATTTTTATGTCTATTTAATGATACTGATAATCTTTAGATGTTTATTTTTATAAT